CAATGAAAGCTTTAGGCCTTTTGCCCTAGACGTTGTAAAATATAGAAGGTACAAGGAAACCTTCTTCTGTTTTAAAAAGGACAAGCTGACGGAATCTCCCAAAACACAGTTACATTCTTCTGTCTTAGAACGAAGTCTTTTTCTCGCTGAATTGTTGATATTCTGTAAAGTTTGTAAGGTCATTTTCACTGGCAGAATATTTGTAGGCAGGTAGGTAGTTAGTAGGGGTGTAATGGTACGCATATGTGTACCGAACAAATACAGGGTTGTTTTAACCACTACATGTTTATGTACCTTCATTTAACGAATCAATATTTAAATTAGTGGTCGACCGATATGGGTTTTTTGACTGCCGATGCCGATATCTTGGAAAGCAGGGTGGCCGATATAAAGCCGATATAATTTTATTTATTTTCATTTATATTTAAGAAATTTTAAATAATTTGAAAATGGATTAATAATAATTGTATAAAATAAACATACTTATACTTTAAAAGACAAAGCATTTTTCACAAATAAATAAATATTTAATAAAAATATAATTAAAAAGGAAGTAAACACTGTAACCAACAGGGCACTCAGTATTCTGGGAAGTTTGTGTGCATTAGAAATCTAAATGTTCATTAGTCATTCAAAGATTTGTTTAAATTATATAAATGCGTATTTGCTGCATGCTGATGGCAAATGAGAACGTATTATAATGTTTGCCTTTCTATTACTAATAATAAGGCAATCGTTTTAATACTTTTTGTATACATTTTAATTCCGTTGTTTAACAGTTCTATCTGATTATTAGATAGACTTCTATCCATATTAGACAGAACTGAACGACGACACTGCTCACATTCTCCCTCTTGTTCGCTACAAAAGGGAGAATGTGAGCACTGTGTTCAGGCGCTGGTGTTCACTCGCGCCGTCAAAATAAAAGTCCCGCCTCGAACACATCGGCCAACCAGAAAAACTTATCGGCCGATGCCGATATTTGAAAAATGCCAAATATCGGCCTTGGCGATATATCGGTCGACCACTAATTTAAATCCCCAAATCATCTTTTTTTTGTCTGTGCTGTTTCAGTTGATGCGTGAATAAAACTTCACTAGTCAGTATATAGCATGGCTCCCAATCAATAATCGCAGTAAGCTTTGTGTTTTGTTTCTTTCGATTAGAAACAAAGTCTCATCTTTCAAATTCTGACCATCCCATCAGGAAGTTCAGGAAGTTTGTCTCTCTTTGACAGTGTTGGAGAAAGTCACTTTTAAAAGTAATGCATTACAATAATGCGTTACTCCCTAAAAAGTAACTCATTATGTTACTTATTTTTTTATGGAATGTAATTACATTACTTTTGGGTTTCTTTTTCTCGTCTGGGCTGCTTGGTTGTTTTTAATATAAAAAAAGCCCTTTCACACCATAAAGTGAAATAAATAAGCCTCAGCCTGAAGGAAATGTAATTTCACGTCTGTACAGTAGAGGCCGCAGCTCAAACTTACCTTCCAGCTGTGCTGCCATTATGGATTGCGTGAAGAATAGGATGCAAGAGAAGAAAGTTCAATACTCTTCAGCAATAGAAAAATGAAAAACAAAAGTTATGTTTATCTGAAGTCATTTTTGCTTGTTAGTATGGTTGAACTGGATCATCAAAGGTGAACAGCAAAGACCTTAATAAAAATGGGATTAAATACATAAAGGATATTTGTGTTGTTTAAAATATTTAATTATTGCAGGTTTGTGTCTTATTCTATTCTAATGCGTTACTACCCCCAACACAGTTTTTTGATGTGGTATGACAGATCGCTGTAAACAATGTCGCATAGCATTACATTTACCTCAGGCAAGTCATCCACAGCTCGTTATTTCGCTAGAGTAATTAATATATACACTATTTTAGCCTATTTAACTTGCAAGTGATGTCTTATTTAATGTTATGTTTAACAATTTGGAATTATAATCAAATTTATTTAAAAGACAGAGCTTATCATGTGTTAATGTAAAAAATCTTGTGTAATATAACGTGTGTTTGTTTGTTTGCTGGTTTTTATTGTATTTATTATACTTGTAATTGTTTTTGCCATGAAAATTGCCTAAGATGCTGACATGGCATTTAAAAAATATATACTACTACTATTTAAAGACAGAGCCACAATTTGTTCAGTAAACCACTTTAATAAACGTATGTAATTTTATGTTTAGTTTTTCCACTCTGCTATATTGAAAACGTGGACTGAACCATAATTTTTAATATCTAATAGATAGAAACATCTTTAAAACATAACTTGACGGTGTTGGCATAGGTAGATTTTGAGACCAAAAGTTTTACAGTTAATGATAAGATACCTACTCCGATAGAGGATAAGATACCTTGTTGAACTTTGTGTGAAACTTTATCAGTTCAGATGGTGTTGCTGCTTAAATTCACATTCTTTTGATTCATCTTTTACAAACATGTTTATTTCTACTTGCTGTGTACTTCATTGTGTAGGCCTGGTGTTTTTGTGCACTGTGGGTAGTGGATGACGTCAAGAGGGAAATCAGCCTGTCAATAAGTGCCACATTTTGGCAGTGAACCCCCTCACGTGCGCGTGTGCGTATGTGTGTCCCAGCCTGTGCACATTAGCAGCATGCGCAGGGAACACCATTGATTTCTTATTGGCACCACACTGTGACACACCAGCCAATTCTCCCTTCATTTTTCCCATTTTACCAGTCAGGAACTATAAAAATAGCCACACCATTGCAGAAAGCTGCTCTCCTGCAGGGAAAGGTGTGACCCAGGAAGAAGTGGAGAGAATCTGAGTGCTAACCATGGCCTGCTATTGCGTGTTATACACTCAATAGCGTTCTGACCACAGGGAGCCCATTGTCCTCAATGCTGGCTGCAGTGATAAAGCAAAAAGGAATTATCTCAAACTTTTCACCGACTCAAATTTACTTGGCCACAAAGTTGTTTTGTGAATACTGCCTCAAGCAACCACATGTAGAGATTATATCAAATGGTCAAATATGTGAATATTGTATCTACAGGGAGAGGATTTTTGTTAACCTAGTTAGTTAGGTGCTTAAACAGGCTGTTATTTTGCAGCAGATGTTTTTGGCAGCTCTCTAGCAGACCCACAGTGGGTTACCACAGTAGCAGACCCACAGTGGGTTCATTTTGCAATCTAATGGTGTTGCTGGATAACTTTAGCATACATAGGATGCAAACATGACAGTGACCATTATTAACTACTATGAAAAAACCTGTTAAATATATATATTTACATTGTTTAGTCATTTAGCAGATATATACTGATGAATAAATAAATAAATAAATATATATATATATATATAGTGCCTAAAACTTACTTTTTGCCACGCCTGCCAATGGCCGGTGACGTGATAAAATTTACCGGCCATGAAACATTTTTTTGCAAAAACAGGCAGTTATTACTACTACAATGACTAAACATATTTACAATGTTTTTAAAAATTAGAACTTAAATTGAAATCTAAAATCTATAAAAGGTTAACATTAGTGTTGTCTGTCAGTCGATTAAAAAAATAATTAATCACACATTTTTCTGTAATTAATCATGATTAATCGCATATTTATATTGTCATAATTTCACATTGAACCTCCAAATTAATGTAGAAACAACATAAAGATAGTATTTTTAAAATGTTTTTAATGGTATCTTTTTACTAAGTTACCTATTAGTTACATGAAGTATTGATACCAATACTGCTACTGGTGTCGCTATTAAATGCATTTTCTCTCAATTTTACCTATTAATTATAGCCATTCAACATTACAGTATAATAGAAATCCATTACTTTTAACATTTAATAGGCTCTGAAATATTAAGTGATTTTAAAACAATCTTCACATAAACTATAAATTGTATATGCATAAACTATACAGATTAATCTTTATTCAACTTACAAAAGTTAATCAGCGACTAGAACAGTCGAGTGATTTCTCTTTTTCTTTTGTTTTTTGATTTAGCTACATCACTGACAGACTTCAGCAGGTTTTACTTTAAAAGCAGCGCTATCTCTTTAAAACCTGATGCACATGATGCGGATCTGACACATATCCTATTTTCTCCAAACTGTTTACAGACATTTAAGACTTTATAACTCATTTAAAACTAAGTTTACGAGGTAACTCGCCAAAACCGCGTATTTAGACATAATTGTGTGCGTTTTCGTCCGTTGAAGCGCTACTGGTGCGCTGTCTAGAGAGGCTCAGCGTCTGTGTACAGCCGAACCTAGCCTACTTCACTGCACCGTTTAGGCGGCGTAACTCCAGGTATGTGTCACCACATTCTCGGGTTATGAAGAATAAAGAAGGGAAAAGTTAATCTTCCGAAATGAAGCAGCAATATCTTCTCAGGTAAAAGTTATTAGAACCGTGTCTAGGGACAAGCTGGCCATCACTGCTCTGACCTTATCAGTCCGTTTGTATCCTATTATTCGATTCGCTCTTGTCGCTTATGACAGAACAGCTCATCACGATGATCTTGTCTTCGGAAAAGATTATTTTATTCGCTTATGTCGGAAACAGCTAATCTCTTTAAAAACTGGCTGTTGTTCTCACTACATTGCATTGTTATATTTCGTAAAAGTTTTACCCGCCAACTGGCGACTGCCACTGTTACACATACTCGCCAACACTGATTTTTACTCTCATTTGGCGCTTGGCAAGTGTTAATTATAGGCCCTGTATGTATATATATATATATATATACTCGCACACACTGCATTTTTACTCAGAAACTTACCAAGGTAAGTTACTAGGTAATGTCTGGTTCCCTAATAAAGATTCACCCAGAATTAATTATTTTTTTATTTATGACCCTGGGTTTGCTGAAAAACTGTAGATAATTATTTCAAGAACTTGTTTTAGAAATCCCAAACTTGTTTAATTTGAATGGGGTTTAAATTAGGGCTGCACGATAAATCGCATGCGATATTTAACGCGCATCTTGTCAGAAAGCCGGTTCTGTAATCAGCGGCCGTCACACTCCACTAGGAGTGTGGAGCGCTTCTTGGTCTTCAAAGAGAAAGCAGAGATACTTGCACCCAAAGAAGAGCAGCGTCCACCCCATGCAGCGCCTCTGCTGCATGACCATCCACCCAAGGGCATCCTCAAGCAGTCTCATCAGTTGGGAGTCTACTCTTCCGACAGTCTGCGCAAGTCTAAGTCGGCAGAGATGCTAGCCCAGGCGAGAAGTCATGGACGCAGCAGGAAGCCCAAAAGTATGTCCTTGGATAGGGAGAAGGGCATACGAGCCTCTCCCACGGGACGTGCTACTTCCACATCGTCTACATCTCCCAGCTCTATGCCACCGGAATGGAAGATGCAGCTTCTTGAGGAAAAGATCAAATTTTCCCAATTTCTGGACGAAATCACCTACCGGGTCCTGAGCCCGGCTAGTCTAAAGATGCTGCGAGGGAACCTTCCAGAGCCAGCAGTGTCTTCGAAAGGGAGCCAAATCAAGCAGCACAACAATCCCCAACAATATGAATCCAAGGACCGTCATGGCAAAAAGCAAGAGAGGAGCCGACTTTGGGACGAGTGGGCCTCCCAGCATAGCAGAGCCAGCAGGAAATCAAGGGAGGCAAGACCCAAGACATGGCACATCTCAGAGGACAGTCCAGAGGGAGCGTCAGAAAAGCAACACGTAGATCCTCATCGTGAAGGGGCCCGTTCCAAAACCGAAGGCCCAATTTATAGCCAGGTGGGGGGCAGTGATGATTTCGAATGGGATGATAGGACTCCACGGGGGGTTCAACACCAGCCTCAACCCCACCAGTTACCCCATATAGAAAGCAGAGCCGTGCAAAAGGACAATACAGATAAATCAGGGCTGCCAAAGGCTGAGATTCCCATCATTCGTGTGGAGTGTGAGAAAACACCTTTATCACAAGTGACTCCCTTTTCTATATTATCACAGATCAAGGTATGTCATTGACAACATTTTTGACTTTACCCCTTCCTCATATACAATCCACTCTTGCATTGAAGAAACTATACCAAATGTCATGCCTTTAAAACAATTGTGCCTGAATACTCTTGCAATATTATTTCAGAGATTAACTAAATATTGTAGGAATAGTTTACTTAAAAATTAAAACTTATTTACTCATCCTCATGTTTATTCACAGACTTACTTCTGTGATGCATTTTGAAGATTGTTGACACTGCTTGTTCCATACAACAAAAGTGGACAGTGACTAAGGGCTGTCAAGATCTAATAGGCACCATAAAAGTAGTCCATATGACCTGTGCACTGTATTTTAAATGTTCTGAAGTCATACAATAATTGGTGTATTTCTCAAATGTTATTTGCAGTTGAATAAAAAGTTCTTGCTAGGATATGCATAAGAATGAATGGCATTTGCCATCATTATGTCATACCTCATGTGACTTTTCTATGTGGAAAGTTTGAATATTGGCGTACGCAAATGAGATTTGAGATCTATGGAGAATGCTCAGTGGCTGAAGCGTTAAGAGTATGGCTTCCAAGCACATGGAATAGTGCATAAATGGTATAGATTGCTTTTATGTTTTTTTTTTTTTGCCCATTTTGAAGCTTGGCAGCCTCTAGTCACAGTGTTTTAATTGTATGGAAGAGCAGCTCAGATAGTCTTCAGAATATCTTATTTTGTAATCCACAATGGAAAGTCTTGTAGGTTTGGAATGATTTCATAGTAGAATATGATCAGGAATTTTGGGGTTACCTTTCCTATATTGAATCAATGCCATGACAAGTATCCTCATCTCACTGTTCCAATGTTTGCTGAGGATATTTTGCTCTAAACATGAGCATTTACTGAAGTTTACTGATAACCAGTTGTCACTTCTGTAACAGTTTTTCATGAGAGATTTTTATCCACCAACAAGCAAATACATAACTAGTGTTTAAACAAACAGAGTTGTTTGCAAGCTTTCTCTGCATTAGACAAATGTTAAAAAAAAATAAAAAAACGCCATTTTCTGCTCTGTGGGATATGGCGGCTATTTAGCTGGCATAAAAACAACAGTTTTCAAACCGATTTCATAGCTTCACTAGGCATGTGCATATTGACCTGTTTGGCAGAAACACAGAGTATGATGTTTCCACTGCATTCCTTGCTTTTTTATTGCAATTATTAAATGAATTAACCAACACATACAGGTCATTTATAAATCTGTAATAGTTCATTGATGCATGCCATAATGTAGGTCTTAGAGGTTATTGATTGAATGTCTACTTAACATTTAGAAGTCCCAAAAGTCTATTCATCGAAACAACTGTTTCCTATGTGTGCAATAATACGAAACTGCTTTATCACTTGTTAGAACACTGTTTTAGGTTGCTCTGACATTTCGAAATCATTTTTCAGCCACACGTAAGATCAGCTCAGAATCAAGTATTGAGGAAATGTTATGTTTGCCCTCTTGGTATAAAAGACAAATATACAGCAGTGTGGGTATTAAGGATATGTGAAATATTGATCTATGGAGAATGCTCAGTGGCTGAAGCGTTAAGAGTATGGCTTCCAAGCACATGGAATAGTGCATAAATGGTATAGATTGCTTTTATGTTTGTTTTTTTTGCCCATTTTGAAGCTTGGCAGCCTCTAGTTAATTGTATGGAAGAGCAGCTCAGATAGTCTTCAGAATATCTTATTTTGTAATCCACAATGGAAAGTCTTGTAGGTTTGGAATGATTTCATAGTAGAATATGATCAGGAATTTTGGGGTTACCTTTCCTATATTGAATCAATGCCATGACAAGTATCCTCATCTCACTGTTCCAATGTTTGCTGAGGATATTTTGCTCTAAACATGAGCATTTACTGAAGTTTACTGATAACCAGTTGTCACTTCTGTAACAGTTTTTCATGAGAGATTTTTATCCACCAACAAGCAAATACATAACTAGTGTTTAAACAAACAGAGTTGTTTGCAAGCTTTCTCTGCATTAGACAAATGTTAAAAAAAAATAAAAAAACGCCATTTTCTGCTCTGTGGGATATGGCGGCTATTTAGCTGGCATAAAAACAACAGTTTTCAAACCGATTTCATAGCTTCACTAGGCATGTGCATATTGACCTGTTTGGCAGAAACACAGAGTATGATGTTTCCACTGCATTCCTTGCTTTTTTATTGCAATTATTAAATGAATTAACCAACACATACAGGTCATTTATAAATCTGTAATATTTAATTGATACATTCCATAATAGAGATTATTGAATGAATGTCTACTTAACATTTAGAAGTCACAAAAGACTATCCATCAAAACAACTGTTTCCTATGTGTGCAATAATACGAAACTGCTTTATCACTTGTTAGAACACTGTTTTAGGTTGCTCTGACATTTCGAAATCATTTTTCAGCCACACGTAAGATCAGCTCAGAATCAAGTATTGAGGAAATGTTATGTTTGCCCTCTTGGTATAAAAGACAAATATACAGCAGTGTGGGTATTAAGGATATGTGAAATATTTATTGGAATATACAACTCTCTGATTCCTCTAATACTCAATATTTATGTGTAAGATGATATATTCAGTTTGCACATACTTAATGCATGTTCTTTCTTACAGGAGTCCTTATCAGATGCCGACAGAATCAAGTAAGTTGATTTTATTCCCATCATTGTGATGTTTTAATTTTTAGTCTTCACAAATGTTGCAGACATGGATTGGCAGTGTGTAATTTCTTTGTTTCAATACTCAGATTTGTTCTAGAAGCCTTGTATTATTTATGACATGCACTGAAGTGTTAAAGTGTTAGGTGGCATTAGCCATCTAATCTGACCCTAAAGCTGATTATTCATTGGCTCTTGCCGTTGTATGGCACGGTTGGCCAAGAGCCAATTAGGAGAGGAGATGCCTGTATGACATCACCAGCTGATTAGCCCAGAAACTCCAGAAGGATAGGGTGAGTCTCAGGCTTATGATCAGTCAGAAGCTGGGTGACTGTCAGAATATCAAGCCATTAGGTCTTGTGATTAGAAAAAGTGCCCACCTTTTAATGACACCAGGCATCCTCTCTTTTACCCACTACACCTCACGTGCTCACTAGGGTACTAGGTCAAATTCACTTTGATCAGAGACATCTCGCCTTCTTTCCAGGCTTACAGGGATTCTAAGACTTTTAGGCTCCAACACCAACCAGCAGGTGCAACTAGTAACTAGTGATGCGGTTGTGCTTTCAACTAGGATTGCCGCGATAGACGGTGTTGACGGTGATACCGGTGTTAAGCCGCAACACCGGTTACGTCACTTGCAGTAAAAGAACAGACACTACAATTAAAAACTGAACGTCCTACGTCTAAACACATATATCCGATTCTCCACAGAACTCCCGATGCGAGGGCGACACCCGCGGTGATACCGGTATTACCGGTGTTGTCACACGCCGATTAACCGGTGGGAAAATTTCCTCACCGACACAACCCTACTTTCAGCCCAAGGCCTCCCATTACCTCTGCTCCATTTTTTCATGTACTGCGTTAGCTTTTATGTTCTCTTCCTTGCCTGTGTTCCCTTTGTTGCTGCTTTTCTCCCATTGAAATCAATGCTTTAAAGTCAGCACCTTAGGTCTGGTGTAGCTTAAAAGTAATTCTCATTTTTAAGCTGTTCTTCAAGTTGCCACTCTTCAACATCAATACAAAGGTGGTGCTTTTGAGAATACTAAAGTACATTTAGTCAAAAACGACTAGTTGGTTACTTTTTTTTAAGATCTCTTTTTTTTTTTTGCCATTATTGGCATTGCTGGATGGGACAGTAGAAAAAATGTAGGAGAGAGTGGGAGGGGACTGAAAAGTATCACAAATATCACACACTTGGTTTGTCCCAGTTGCAACTTCAACTGCAAGGCTTTTGGCTCAAAACTAAATTAATTTTTAACTAATTGGAAGAAAGCCTTGTTTAATTTGGTTTAACGATTGAAGGGATAGTTCACCTTCAGTTGGTCCCCATTGACTTGCATAGTGTTTTTTTCCATACTATGGAAGTCAATAGGGACCAGCAACTGAAGGTGAACAATCCCTTTAACTGACCTATATTGGATGGGCAGAGTAAAGCAGAATGCAGAAGGCACAAGACATTATTAACATGATACAGTCAAGTGCATTAAAATGGTCATAACTTTACAGACAGGGTTTCACCCTGTGAACTGTCTGACAGTTAAGGCACAGTAAAAAAAAAAAAAAAAAATTCAGTTAAACCATTGCAATCCATCCCAGATTACTTGCGTGTAGGATTGACAGGAGCCTAACAGAGCTGAGTCTGACTCGTTGTTCCCTTCACCATCTCGTTCATGTGACGCCAGGCGGAAGCATGCAGGTCGTGGTCGGGCAGGCGGCGTTATTGATTGGCCTAGTTGTCTGTTTGATGGGTGGAGAGAGCTGGACGGTGGATGTAGTCTGAAGATGGGTTTCTCCATCATGTGTTTCCAACCCCCTCAGGGTGGAAATCTGGAATTAATTGTTGAAGCTTTCTGTAAATCACAAAACAAAAAGCACTGTGAGTCTGATATAATGTACTTTTTAGTGTTCTCCAATAATCCATGACACACACAAGATTGCCTGTGGATTTGTTTACTTAAACGAGGAGTCATCTCAATTATCACCAGTAAAGTATGGAGTGCCACAAGGATCTGTCCTAGGTCCTCTGCTATTTTCAATATACATGTTACCCTTTGGTAATATTATTAGAAAATACGGAATTAGTTTCCATTGTTATGCTGATGATGCTCAACTATATATCTCAACAACATATATTCTCAACAACATATACAACATATATGATTATTGCAACATATAATAATTGCTGTTAATAGTGTTCATCGTAGGCCTGGGCGATAAAACGGTATCGATATTTATCGACGGTACACCTTCGATAACGATATAAACATTTTTTCCATATAGTGCACGATATAGGCACGTGCTATGAGTGATGCAGACAGCACACACAAACACGAACACATGCTGAATTGAGTGCTGTGCCTGCCTGTGATGAGGAGATTGTGAATTAAAAAATGAATATTAGTCGAATTTAAAATAAACATTTGCATTTGAATGCAAAAATGGTACAATCCAATGTTAGGAGTGCGTCAGGGAGCGTCATCAGTGGCGCACGAGATGCAGTGATAATGATGTAAGTGACATTGTTGCATTTTAATACGGCTCCGGGGGGTGAACAAAGGCCTTCTGTAGTGAATCGATGCGTTTTTGTAAGAAAAATATCCATATTCAAAACGTAATAATCACTTTAATGTAAATATATACCATTCACAAATCTTGTGTGTATTTTTTTTTTAATTGGATTGAACTATTTTGATACTTTTCAGTGTTGAATGAGATCTTGTCAACAGTTCTCTCATTTTGTCTGATCTTCTATATATATATATATATATATGTTTTTACTAGGGATGCACCGATACTGGTCTCCTGTACTCGTACTCGTACTCGTTAAAATGCCCCGATACCAAACGCCGATACCACACAGCATGTGATAAGCGCCATATTCAAACAAAGAAACACCAACAACAGAACAACAGACAGCAGAAAGGAGTTAAGGATGTCTTTGACTGTATCTATTTGATAAATGAAGTTAACCAACTAACATTATACATACCCTTTTGGTTTCTGTACCCAATATTTAAAAAATGTACAAATGCAATAAAAATATCGGTATCGGTACTCGGTATCGGCAAGTACCAAAAATAAAAGTATCGGTATCGGGCGAGTACTGGAAAAAGTGGTATCGGTGCATCCCTAGTTTTTACACTGGGCTTTTCACAATGGATTCTAATGCTGCGTTCCATTTGTACTCTGAAGTTGGAAATTCCTAGTTCCCAGTAGGAACTTTTAACTGGACCGCCCTCTCAAGTCAGAGTTCCAACTCAGAATCTTGGAGGAATCGCAACAGCTCCAACTTCAGAATCCAATATGGCTGTTCGGTGCATCAACAGAAGAAAAACAGTACTATCCAACCTCTATTTGTAGGCAATTTGAGGTTGTTTTAATCGACTGGTATTGCTAACAATGGACACGTCTGTCTTTGTTTTTTGAGTTGGGTGTGACGTCATTCCCAGCACCAGCATCGTAATTCTGAGGTAAATGCAAAAAATATAATTTCACCGAAATAGATACGTGTGATATTTGGCCAAAAATCTTCCTTTTGGAAAAGGCTTCACATTGCCTATTGCTGCAGCTCAGTAGATTTTAGAACTGGTCAAAATATTTATGTCTGCTTTTTAGCTTGCATAGAACAGTGAGGCATAATTTTCCTGATTCAGTGATGAAATATTTGCCTTCTTGGGGATGCAAAACAAGAGGAACTTCCAGTCCAAGTCTAACAAGCGTTAAGCCCAGTCTGCATGTGATTGAAAAGGCTTTTCCTGGTCCTTCAGGGCTCTACGCTTATTTTTCTTTTTAGGAGCACTTGTGCTCCTAACTTAAAAAATTTAGGAGCACAGTCAAAAATTTAGGAGCAACTTCTAATCAATAATCCAAAATTTGATCAAAAATTAGCCTTCCTATTACGAGGTGATATTTGACTCCTTAAAGTGATTTACAGTGGAATTTTGTTTTTACCTTTGTAATGGCATTTTTCTATCTTTATTAAAAGTATGTAATCTTTT